CGTGGGATTGAGTCCAAGTTGAACACCCTGCGCGACTACCGCTGAGCTCGGGGTCTCTGCGTCCATTGTGGCGACAAATGGTCGCGCGGCCACAAGTGTTCAGAAACCGTCCAGCTCTAGGCCTTACAGGAGTTTTGGGACATCTGTCATTCGGATGACTGCTCGGATTCTGCATCAGTCCAGGCAGATGAAGCACCCCAGTGTGTGGCTATTTCCATGGCAGCATCAGGTAGCTCGCAACCTGCTCATGCTATTTAGTTTGTGGGTATGGTACAAGGACACCAGGCTCGGATTTTGGTGGACTCTGGTAGCACTCATACCTTTGTCAATCAGGCGCTGGCTTCTCAGTTGTCCGGGATAACCTCTTTCGGTCCTGCCCTCCAGGTCATCATAGCCGATGGATCTCAATTGACTTGTTGCTCCCAAATTGGTCAGCTGTCTTGGTATGTTCAGAGTTGCAACTTTGTTTCAGCAGCCAAGGTTTTACCTCTGAAGTCTTATGAGCTGATTGTGGGAATGGACTGGTTGGCTTCGCGTAGTCCGATGCAGGTGGATTGGCATAGCAAATGGATGATAATTCCCTATGGTCAAGGTCACAGTTTATTGCAAGGTGAGCTGACAAGCCTACCTGTTGGTTCTGTCATTCAAGTTTCCTCTATGCTGTCGGATGATACTGTGGCCAGTCAGGAACTAGTTCCGCCTGAGATTGCAGCACTCATATCAGAGTTTCAGTCTGTCTTTGCTCCTCCGACTGGTTATCCGCCGGCACACCATTGTGACCATACCATTCCGTTGATTCCGGGAGCTAGCCCGTTCTCTGTCAGGCCCTATCGTTACTCTCCCTTGCTTAAGGATGAGATTGAGCGCCAAGTGACTGACATGCTGCAAGCCGGCCTGATCTAGCCAAGTTCGAGTCCTTTTTCTTCCTCGGTGTTACTGGTTAAGAAGAAGGATGGCACATATCGCTTTTGTGTGGATTTCCGACAGCTCAACGCCATCACAGTCAAAGCTAAATACCCAGTACCAGTCATTGAAGAGCTTCTCGATGAACTCACACATGCATCTTGGTTCTCTTGTCTTGATCTGACAACAGGGTACCATCAGATTCGGTTGAAGAGTGGGGAGGAATTCAAGACTGCATTTCAAACTCACACCGGCTAGTACGAGTTTCGTGTCATGGCTTTCGGTCTCACAGGAGCTCCAGCCACCTTCCTTAAAGCCATGGACAATACCCTATATCCTCTATTGCGCAAGTGTGTACTGGTTTTCTTCGACGATATTCTCATTTACAGTCATTCCTATGAAGAACATCTTGAGCATTTGAGGATGGTCTTTCAGTTGCTCCAGCAGGATCACTGGCAGGTGAAGATGTCCAAATGTCACTTCGCCCAGCGCCAGCTTCGCTATTTGGGGCATGTCATCTCGGAGCAGGGTGTGGCCACTGATCCTGATAAAGTGCAGGCTATCTTGAAATGGTCGGTGCCACGGTCAATGAAGGAATTGCGTAGTTTCTTGGGGCTCGCAGGATACTACAGGCGTTTCGTTAAGCACTTTGGCATCATATCCAAGCCATTGACAGATCTTCTCCGCAAAGGTGCTGTATATGTATGGACAGCTAGCCAGGATCAAGCTTTCTCAGCTCTGAAGTAGGCTCTTACCACCGCTCCGGTGTTGGCTCTGCCTGATTTCAGCCGTCCCTTTGTAGTGGAGACTGACGCCAGCGGTACTGGAATTGGAGCTGTTCTGATGCAAGGAGGCCATCCCTTAGCATTCCTGAGCAAAGTATTGGGACCTCGATTGCAAGGGTTGTCCACATATGAGAAGGAGTATATGGCTATCTTGTTGGCCCTAGAGCACTGGCGCAGTTATCTGCAGCACGCTGAGTTTCAGATCATCACCGACCATCGTAGCTTGGTGCGGTTGACTGACCAAAGGCTTCACACACCCTGGCAGCAAAAGGTCTTCACCAAGCTCATTGGTCTCCAGTACCGGATTGTTTACCGCAAGGGCACGGATAATGGAGCGGCTGATGCACTCTCCCGTTGTCCTTCCACTCAATTGACCGCGATGTCAGTTTGTCAGCCTCAGTGGTTAGAGGCCGTGGTGGCCTCATACTCTCACGATGCACGAGCCCAAGAATTACTTGCCAAGATGGCTGTGGCCCCAGATTCAGTCCCCAACTTTACTCTTCGCGACGGGCTGCTGCGCTACAAATGCCGTGTTTGGGTGGGTGCTGATTCTGAATTGCAACATCGACTGATTGCAATGGTGCACTCGACTGCGGTTGGTGGGCATTCCGGTATCTCAGTCACTTATCGCCGATTGAAGCAAATCTTTGCATGGACCGGCATGAAGTCAACAATCTGATCTTTTGTAGCATCTTGTGCGTCTCGCCAACAAGCTAAACGACCATTCCAAGTTGCTGGCTTGCTACAAATTCTTTGCTGTGACGACAACGCATGGTCTGTGGTATCCATGGATTTTATTGAAGGGCTTCTATCCTCCCAGGGTTTTACTTGCATTATGGTGATCGTCGATCATTTTTCCAAGTATGCTCATTTCTTGCCTCTTAAGCATCCTTTCACTGTAAGATCGGTGGCTCAGTCGTTTATCTCTCAAGTGTATAAGTTGCACGGGATGCCGCAAGCTATTGTATCGGATCGAGACAGAGTCTTTACAAGTCATTTACGGCAGCAATTTGTTTGATTAGGTGGAGTTGAGCTGCGGATGAGTACCGCTTATCATCGCAAAACGGATGGGCAAACCGAAAGAGTCAATCAATGTCTAGAGACGTTCTGCTATTTGCTTTGTGCATGCTTGCCCTCATCGATGGCGGCGATGTATTGGATCAAGCTGAATTTTGGTATAACACCAATTGGCATTCCGCTTTGGGGCATTCTCCTTTTGAGGTCTTGTATGGTCATGCTCCACGCCACTTTGGCATTCCATCTCCTTCGTGTACAACAGTTCTCGACTTGGATGCGTGGTCGATCGACCGGGCCTTGATGTCTGAGGTGATCCGTCTCCATCTGAATCGCGCTAAGCAACGTATGAAGAAACAAGCTGATGAGCATAGATCTGAGCGCCAGTTTCATATTGGTGATCTGGTCTTCGTCAAAATCCAGCCATATGTACAGTCTTCCTTGGCTCGGCGCAACAATCAGAAGCTGGCCTTCAAATTTTTTGGACCATTTCGTATACTGGCTCGTGTGGGAGCTGTGGCTTACAAATTGGAGCTGCCGGTTTCTTCTTCGGTGCACCCGGTATTCCGTGTGTCGCAGCTCAAGCAGTCGGTGGGAGCTCATCGTTCTGTCACCAGTCATCCACCATCGGAAGCCGTACTTTGGAGTGTGCCTGAGAAGATTCTTCAGACAAGATCAATCACCAAGGGTACGCGTTCTATCACTCAAGGTTTCATTCAATGGTCTAATCTGCCAAAGTCTCTTGCTACTTGGGAAGATTTGGAGTTCCTTCGGCAGCAGTTTCCCCACGCCGCCGTCTGGAACCGGCTCGGCGTGCAAGGAAGGGGGGATGTTGCGCCTGGGCCTTCTACTGTGACGGGTCCGACATCAGAAGCGCGAGATGGGCTGAAGCCATGGCGGAAGAATGGGCCGCAGCTACGCAGGTCCGGTCGGCCCAGACTTCCCAACAGGCGCATCGCGGGCGACGAATGGGCCAAGGCGTGATCGCGGCGTCGTATATACAGAATGGTTGCGAGATGAGAGGGCATGAATGATTATTGTAAACCTTGCTTCCGCCTGCAACTTCCTCTGAACCCGGCCTCCTGCTTGCTGCCTTCCCCTGCTCCATCCTTGCTACTCGCCTAAACTCTGCTACTGCTACTTTCAACGCTGAGATTCATCTGAGTTCGTAACACTTAGCTTCTTTGTTCAATATCCAATTTAGTTCAATTTTGAAAGATAGAAAAATTCAGTCCTGACTACCAAGAATCCTATAGGGAAGTCAATGCTTTAACTTAATAGAGCTGTGCCTTAGGATACTAGTATAACTTAATATACCTCTATTGCTAAATTGCCTCTTGACACATGTACCCCCTAGATTAGCTTAATCCCCTCTATTAACAAGTGATGCTGCATATATTTTGCTAAAAAAATGATGCTGCAGGTCTACAGCACATTCTTTACTCTTAGACTATGTTAATGAGACTCATTAAAGAGAGTTCCAGATCAAAAGAAATACATGCCGTACCATTACACATGGCATGAGCACTAGATCACAAAAGCATGAAATCTTCTTCACATGTATTCCGACAGATAGGCACTTCTCGAGACCAAGTAATCCCCGCGGATAAAAGATATTTGTAATCTTTTTTCAGTTCTGCCAGCTCAAAGAATATCTTGTTGCAACTGGAAGAAACAGCAGATCTCTGCCATCCTGTTTTCTGAACAAATCCGGACAGCATTCGGACAGATGACAAATGTAGGTTTTATCTTGGTTCTAGAAGCCTGAACTGGAGACAAAGCAGAACTGCTGAAGTGCCATTTGTGGAGAAAATATCAGTTACGTTTTCTTTCACGGGAAGATGAATTTGAAATTTGAATAGAACTCACACTCAACTCAGGATCGTCCGGCGACATGCTTGCATTCTCCGCTCCAGAACCATCGCTTAAGATGATCCACAAACAGTGTCACTGAAAGTGGGCCATGATGGCAAATTGTGTGCCACTCATATATCACAATTCATAATCACGGCAAGTTTTTCAAAATGCCATGAACTATTGTTGTTGATTGTATGCAACAACAATAATTACATTTTTTCAAAATGTAGATAAATGCCATTAACTATTGTTGTTGAATGTATCCACAAACAGTGTCACTGAAACTGGGTTTGATGCTCAAGAATATGCAACAACACACAGAAAAAAATGCCTTAAATCATGACTGGAAATCTTCATACACAGAAAAACAAACACTACTCCACAGATCGATTATCTACTGCTCCAAAGCTAATGCCTAATGATTTGACTGACTTGATCTAATCAAGTCAGCTTGAGCTGCAAAGAATCCTTGCATTGTACATCTCCATGGCCAGCAAATTCTGCACGCATGGCTGCTTGGCTTGCTACCGAGACCTGGCCTCGGGCAATTTGGCGGCCGCCGTGGGGAGCCGGGGGCGCCGGCGCGCCACGGCGGACTCGAGCTCGAGCGCGGCGAGGGTGGCCTCGAAGTCCTCCTCGCCGCACGGGATGCGGATGCCGGCGGCCTGCGCGAAGCCGAACTCCTCGGCGGCGCGCTCCATGAGGATCCCGGAACGCCGGCTGGCGGAGGTAGGCCGTGGGCACGACGAACCGGCGCGCCTCCGCGCCCACGTAGACAGCGAAGTAGCCCCTGGGCACCGCCGGCAGCTCGGCCTCGTCGAGCAGCGCCGCGCCCAGGCTGTCGTCCCCGCCGCCGCCGACGCCGCGGAGCCCCCGCTCCGACGCCTGCTGCTTCCTCTTCCTCCCCTGCAGCATCGCCGGCGCCCGGAAGTAGCCCTTGATCGCCATCATCGCCGACGCTGACGCCGATCCAAGAACGAGACCGCCTGCTCTGCTCCTGATCTTGTCGTTCAGCTGCGCCAGTTGCTGTCTAGCTCCGAGAAGAGATCGATCAGATAGGAAATGGTGGCGTCATCTATTCAGTGCCATGCACACCTGCCACCTGGTGGATGATGATCAAAACGGCGAGGAGAGGAGAGGGAGGGATGAAAGCATGTGTGAGCAGAGCTTTGGACTTGGAGTGTTGTTTGCAGCATGGGTATATCATGGCTGCAGTTTGGACGGAGTTTGTGCTTTTTTCGAGGATGTGCTTGGATTATTAGCTGTATCCTTGCACTAAACAATGCTACTAGTAGTGTGCAGGAGTAATCTACAATGTGCAAAGTTTGCAATGCTGTATACTATATAGAAGTGTAGACTACTTTTACTTCAATTAACCTGGATAGTGTGAGCTGGGTGGGACACTTGTACTTTTGTATGTACTGATGCACAATGATTTTCCATTTGGATGCGCTTTTGTATGTGTTAAGTTTTTTGGTTTTTTTAGAGGGGGGGAGGGGATGAGTCAGTTAGCCAGCAGTTTTCCCTGTTTATTAAAAAAAATCCATGTCACATACTCCCCCCTGTGCAACGTTGAGATAACGAAATGGAGATGTTTTTTTATTTTTACTTCTAAAACACAAACTAAGGCCCATTTTGTGTTTTTGTTATTATAACCTTCAGCTGAAACAAAACAGATCCTATATTATAATAATTCAAGGGATCCATGTCTTTTATTTTCTTCGTCTAATAAAAATCATGACAAAGCTTTTATTGTCCCTTAAGAAATAATTTGCGGCAAGTATTTGCTTCATTCATTCGTGACATTACTGGTTATTCTTCTATCATTCCTCATATACCATAAAGAAAGCTCACAAATATGAATCACTATGTCTACAACACATGGGACCATCACCGACTATGGCATATCCGAGATTTAAGATTTTTTTTTTGGTGGCATATGAGGAATTATTCCTTGCAATAATATAATTTTCCGTTTCTATATCTTGCATACAATTGAAATAATGTAACTATGTAAGCTAAAATAAAAATGATCTAAGTATGGAGCTAGATGTTGCAATATAATACTAACTTATTCCATCTGTCTCAAAATAAGTGAAATCTCGTACTCTGAGAAATCAATGACTAATATATATATATATATATATATATATATATTGATATTTATGATATCAAATCAATATCATTAGATTGACCACGCCATGTATTTTTTATAGTAAACCTATTTAGGGATACAAATGTTAATAATAATATGGTCATGTTCGCTTCTCTTATAATCCGTTTTTTTCAGCTTGTTTTTTTAGCCGGAACAATATTTTTCTCTCACAACAAATCAGCCGGAACAGTATTTCGGCTTGTTTTTTCAGCGAAGCGAACGGAGCCTATTTCTATAAATATAGTTAAATTTAAGATTGATTGACTCCTTAAAGTACAAGATGTGGTATGAAGGGAGTATATCATATAAAAGCCCCCTAAAACAAACCAGTCAGCTAGATAAATAAACAGGAGTGCAAGTTAAAAGAGTCTTCACTCGAGTATTATTGCATTACTATATTATTGACTAGGACGCATAAAAGCTATCGAACATAGTAGGACTTGTAGCAACGGAACGTCGATGACAGGGTGGCGGGGAAGCATAGGATGAGCGAGGAAGGGCATTGACACATTGTTTAGCTTTTCTGGGATACGGTACGGCCGCAAGGATCGCGTATAGTACGGATGGCTCTAGGAATTACGTGGCCGGCCACCTTCCGGCATGTTTGATCCCTTCCATTCCAGCTCAGACTTGTAAGTAACGATGGATCGCTGATGCGACCTTCTCAGGGTTGATGAGCACGACGTGCCGTCCATGCATGTCCTTTAGTTCTTGATGTCACCAATGGAGTGGATGGCTGCAGCATTTATCTCATATATAATCCCATTGCCTTTGCTTTGGAATTATCAACTAAACTCTTCTCTATCAATATTATAATATATATATGCTGAGCAAAACTCTTGTCGACTTCTTAAAAAAATCCTTCAATTAAACGAGTTTTGGATGACCCGAGAAATCAATGCTTGCATTGTCTAAGATCAGATGGAAATGCTCTTGTTTAGCTCGTAAGCTCGAGGCAGCTCTTCTCTGTTCTGTGAAATGAGCACAATATCGTGTCAGTTCGTTCAAAAAGAAAATAAGCTTGCGGCAGGCAACTTTCTTTGAAAACTTGGAGTCCTCTTTCTTTTTCTTCTTTTCTTTTTTGAAGGCACGCAGATACAGCAGCAAAATGGCAGCTTTGGCCTGTGTGACCAATCAGCTGCCAACCACTGTTACATATACATTCAGTTATTAGTTACACGGCGGGGTTTCTGCAGGGATGCGGAAATCAGCAGCCAGCAGCCTTGAGGAAGTTGTCGTAGGGGCTCGACGCGGGCAGCCTCAGTACCGGCGGCTGGACGTCGCTAGCAACCTGTTGTGCCTCGGCGGTACCGCTCTGCAGGAGGAACGGGTTTGTGTTCTGAAAACAAACCGGCAACAGTCAGCCTCATCATCTCACCCATCCGCAATTCCCCATCCCATCTCATCCCCCAGATATTTTTTTTTTCCTCAATTTACAATTATTAAGCATCGGTGGAAACGCAAATTACGAGCTCAAAACTAAGCTGGTCCACGCACCTGCTTGTCGGAGGCATGGGCTGCTTCAACGCGGTTAACCTGATTGTCAGGCACGACGGGGGTTGCTTGCTTGAAGCTCATAAGCAGGGACATCTTGTGGTGCTTTCCCATCGAAAGGGCCTCGCAGTGGCTAGTCATCTCCTGGAATGGGATGTCTCCGGCCATCGATTGCGCTCCGGTCTGAGATGACGCGTCAATCACGACCTGTAATGTGCACACAGATGGTGGTATGAACAAACAAAGATAGAGGAGTGGGGCAATGAACTGTGACCCTGAGAAAAAAAGAACATACTGTTTCTAGAAGTTCATCGATACTCAGAAGATTTGTTGTGGGCACAGGAATAGCTGTATCTGTCAGTGTAGTCGCAGAGACTTCCGCAAAAGTAATGTTGTCATTTCTCAGATCGATAAGTTCAGCCTGCACAAAATTTCCATGTACCTTTAGGATGGAAAAGAAAGTGAGACAAATATATAAGTGATACACATATATACCTCTTGATAGTCGGTGTCATCATCAGAACTTGGCCGTGCAATCTTGCTAGGTGATTCAAGATAGTGAGCACTAGTTGGGCACATTTCATCAGGGGAGAAATCATGTAGCAGTTGACTCCTTATATTCTCTAACTCCAACTACAGAAGTTGTGGGCAAAGTTCATTATCCACACATTCCATGGTATTCAGTTTAGGCAAATATAAGAAATGCTTACGGAGAATGGATGGAAAATTACATCTGGTAACTCTGTTATGGAGTTCATAATGGCAAAGACCATGGATTCTCGAGAGCAACTATTTGTTAGTTCCACTGCTGAAAGAGACTTCAAGGCATTCTGATTGTCCTCAGGTGAGCCATAGAATGTTGATGGATCTTCTGTATAGTCCTTCACAACCTGAAGTTTGTTCTCATGTACCAAATGAAGGAATGGATCCATCTACAACAGTTGCGGCACATAAAGCTTAGAACTTTATTGATTAAAAAAACATATGGAAGCAACAAAAATGACATGAAGAACGATAATGCATTATTAATGTATAATATAAACATGCACACTGTATGCTTTGCATCTAGAAGAAAAGTAATTGGTGCAACCGAAAAGTAATTAGTGAACACAAAAAGGTTGTGTTCATTTGATGAAAAGCACATTCACTTTTGGGCACTTTTCTGCTAATCACGTGCAGAAGTGCGGTGGTATTTGTCATCTGAGCACACCAGCAGATAAATTAATCTATCTGTACCTTATCTATAAGCTTGTCAGATTAAATTCCCCAACTCCTTATCTATTAGCTTCAGTCGTTAAATCTATCATTTCTCAGGAGTCAGAGTCTATTTAAGAGGATAGAACATTCATTACATGATCAAGCAAAAGCATGAATAAATCAAGTCAACCAGTTTCTCAGTCTGTGCTTTTCTCCCCCTATCAACACCCTCCTTCCTATGACATCATTCTGAATCATGTCTATCACTGTCCAACATCACATATACGGATATTTACCCCCCATTATGTAGAACATACACTGCACATATAATATACCGAACTCTACAAAAAACAAGGAGGCTTGATTGATGAGGTGGAGGAGTGGAATTTGATCAGACATACCGTTCTATCATTGAGCATTGATTTACAAATTGGGAGAAGAGTCGCCACATTGAAAGCTCTTGAGGCAAAAACAATCATAGATGTAGCCAGAGTAAATAAGGACCGGTGGCAAGATGGTGGCAATGAATCTAAACAAATGGTTAGGTACTTATCAGAAACCAAACTGACATGTACTTTAGTTAACTCTAGGCAAATGATAAATTGCTTCACCTGTTCCTCCAAGTGAATGGCTCATTAAAGAAAATGCAATCTGAAAACTGGGAGCAAGAGCCTCAAAAATTGATGTCTGGAAGAACAAAAGGAAAAAAAAAACAAAGAGAATAATGTTCTCAGTGATGACCATTCCAAAGAGCACCATGTAACTGAGGATTAAAAGATGTGGTGACTACTTAAAAAAAGAGAGAGCAATAAGCCGTATGAGAAAGATCACGCATGACAATATACAGTATCATCATTTTAATAGAAAAATAATCAAATCAAACAAATTGCAGGAAGAATAGCAATTCTCTGCAACCCAGATAACAATAGGAACAAAACAAATGGCAGCTATAAAAATTAAGTACCTTTGATCCCAAAAACAATAGAAGCAAACTATATGTATGAGCAATAGCTTCATAGTTTTGAGGAGTATTTTTTGGAGAAAGCGCTTGACACCAAATAGATGAGAGCAGAAGAGTGGCCTGCTGGCTGCTTAGTCTTAACAC